TCAGTCCATCACACAACTTTATTAAATCCATACCCATAATTATGTCGTATTTGTTTATTAATTCATCCACACTTTAGACCAACGCATCCACCAAGCACCCGTTTATTGGGGGGGCGTGTTTTAGCAATAACTTTTTCACATCGAACTGTTCCTCCAATTGTTGCAACGTTCACTGCACGAATCACTTTGTAGTCAGATGGCAGTAACTTCTTGGTGATGATTGATTGCGAGCAGACATTAGCCTCAAACGCTGTAGCTTTTTTTCCGTTTATCACTAAGTCGATAGTAGGTTGTATTGTTTCGGGACTAGTTCTTGCAGAAATACCTAATGCGAACTCGTCCCATTTAAGTTTTCATGGTTTCGTTGACGATTGTAGCAGTCCTTCATAGCATGTTTATGCAAGCATTTCTTGCATAAAGAAGTACATTCAGGTGCAAAGTGATTTAATGATTCACATATAAAACATCGCATTTCTTTTTTTCTCCCTCCCAGTTGTTCGGTAACTTGAATTTATTTATTTATTAACAGATAAACATTCCCCATCTAATCTAGTTTGTAAAACCACGGATGCAGTCTTGACACAATCGTCAAAGCTCAACGCATCTTCTCCCCAAAGAATGGCACGCAGATTTTTTTTATATCTTTTTTATTTCTATTTTTATTTATACATATTTAAATTCTTTTATTTTATTATAAAAATATATTAATAGTCAATGTATGTACTTTTCGTTCTCTATAAAAGTTTCTTATGGGTACATTTTTTTACAAAAAAAAATAATCCTTACGGGGGCAAAAAATATATAATATCTGCTCGTGTGTGACCATTCGGCGAATTTTATATGCCAAAGTCTTTAAATAATTATTGCATTAAAATCACAACAATAATAACTAGAATTAATTAAAAACTAGAATTTTTTTCAAATATCATGTTTACGGTCAATTCTATTGCTAGCTTATTTGCTAAAGTTTGCTCAACTTTTATGCTTGCTTATTGACTTAGTTTAATAATATATATATATATATATATATATATATATATATATATATATATATATATATATATATATATATATATATATATATATATACATATATATAAGATGAAAGTAAAAATATATTTTGGATATATATATATATATATATATATATATATATATACATATATATATATATATATATATATATATATATATATATATATATATATATATATATATATATATATATATATATATATATTAGGGTGAAAAAATTTTTGAAATTTGATTTGCCTGAGCTGCGAATCGATGTCTTTTGGTGAAAAAAGAACCTTACTTTTTTTTTAAATTTAAATGAGTTTTAGAGTTTCCTCTTTGGATTCTAATTATATGACGGATCCTAATACTGTTGAAATTTTTTTTTTTTCTAAACTATATCTACCTGGTACTCAAAAGAAGCAGAATAATACGCTTATTTTGAATATAATGTTTGTTTTAATTCAAAACTAAAAAAAAAATTATGTCTTTTTTTTCATTAAAAAACCTATTAATAAACTTAAATTCCCCGTCTTCATCAAAACGGGGAATTTAAGATATATTTTTGCAAATATTTTTTTTACTAAAAATTTTTTTAAAATAAAATTATTATTGATAAAACAAGCATTATTTTCTGCTTTTTTTTGAGTCCAAGGTATATATATATATATATATATATATATATATATATATATATATATATATATATATATATATATATATATATATATATATATATATATATATATATATATATATATATATATATATATCAAATCAAATCAAATCAAATATATTCTGAACCAAGTTATTTAACATTTCAAGGATATTTACAATAGTACGAGTACTAATATAAAGCAAATACCTAATACAATATATCAATATAGACATTTAGAAATATATTAATAGTAATAATAATATTATATTAATAGTTTAAATACTATTTACAATTAAAACAACAATAAGCATTAAATCGACATATATATATATATATATATATATATATATATATATATATATATATATATATATATATATATATATATATATATATATATATATATATATATATATATATAGCAATAATAACTAATAACGATAGTAAAATAGAAAATAAAATTTAAAAAAACATAATAAAAAAGTTAATATTACTATCATCTGAAAACAAAATAATAATGATAAGAATAATAATCATAAAATTCAATCATAATAAAAAAAAAAAATAATCATAATAAAAAATCTTTAATAACGAAGATAATATTACCAATAAAATATTACCAATAAAAATATTACCAATAAAAATAAGAAATATTACCAAGAAATATTACCAATAAAAATAAGATAAATAGAAATAAAAGAAAATAAATTGATGATGACGATAAATAAAGATTCAAAAAAATCCTCGTCAATAACAGTGATAATATTAACAATGAAGTTAAGATAAATAGAGACAAATGAAAGAAATTAAATTAATGATGACGATAAATAAAGATTCAAGAAAATCCTCGTCAATAACAATGATAATACACTAACAATAAAAATAGCAAAATGAAAAAAATAAATATATAAAAGGAAAAGCAGAATAAATAACCAAGGAATTAAGGATAAGAAAAGATTAGGTTGATAGAATTTGATAAATAGATGGAGAATTTAGAGTTATTGAGGATAGGAGAATAAAAAGCCAGAGAATTACTAATTTATAAATATTATAGGGAGTTTGGAGTTTGGCTGCAGAGATATTTGTTTGTATTTTATTAACAAGTGATTGAAAAGCTTGACCTTAAAGTCAGAGATTGAGTTTAAAGATTTTAAATCAGGGGGGAGATTGTTCCATGCGCTTATACTTTGGTATTTAATGGGTTTATTTCCATACTGTCCGCTTAGCCTAAAATTTAAGTACTTTTTAATAGGTGTGAGGCTGGATTTAAAGATGATGAGTTCAGTTTTACTACAGTTAAGAGAAAGTTTATTAGATCAAAGCTATTGAAAAAGATTTGAGAGAACATGATTAAAATATTTGTTGATTTTTTTTTGGCGATTTGTCAATTAGTAGCATGTTAGTATTGTCCGCAAAGTGGTAAGCAGTTGCAAATTTAAAAGAATTATTTAAGTCATCAATAAAAATAAGAAAGAGAAGTGGTCCTAAAACTGAACCTTGAGGGACACCATTTGAGCACTTTTTTAATGACAGAATTAGTCCCATTAATGGAAACAAACTGTTTTCAATTGTTAAGATAAGAACTAAACCATTTAAGTGGGATGCTTCTAATTCCATAATACTTCAATTTTGTTAGAAGTATTGAGTGATCTACAGTGTCAAAAGTTTTTTCCAAATCTACAAATACTCCACATGCAAATTACTTGTTATTCAGAGCTTTTCGAATCCTCTCAGTATTTTCAATGAGTGCAAGGGTTGTGTAATGTTTGCTTCGGAATCCATACTGATGTTGGTATAGGCTTTTACATTTTTCTAGAAGCTTGTACAGCCTGTTATGTCTTTTCAAAAAGTTTGCTCAAAATTGGAAAGAAGGGAAATGGGTTTTTTTAAAAAAAAAAAAGCCTTTTTTAAGGATTGGAACAACTCTAGCTACTTTGAATACATTAGGAAATGTGCCACTTTTAAATGAGTTATTAATAATAGTGCAAAGTGGCTTTGAGATAATGTCCTTAAGAAGCGATTGACAGATTGATTCCATCATCGTCTTTTATCAAGATTTCCCAGTTGATTTTAGAGATGTCCAAAATAAATTTGTTGGAATCAAAGTTTTTAAAACTTCGTTTTGAAATTTTAACTTTGTTAGGTTGACTGGCTGTGCCAGGAACACATACAGATTGTGCCATGTGATCTGAAATAGAAATAGTTAAGTTACCAGAGAGATGATCAGTAGAGTGGAAGTCCATGAAGATATTATCAATGAGTGTTTGTGATTTAGCTGTTATGCGGGTAGGTAGGATTATAGAAGGGTTAAAACAATAACAGTATAAGGAATCAAAGTAATTAGAGGTAGGATTAGACTCACTGTGATCTAGTAAATCTATATTAAAATCACCCATTAAAAGGATTAATTTATTTTCTTTGCTAATTTTTTCTAGCAGCGGCGTTAAGTAGGTGGAAGTGAAATCCTTTGACTCATGATGGGTGACGATATATGCAGCCAATTAGAATATTAGTTTTGTGGGGCTTAATGATTTCAACAAAAACAAACTCTAGTAATTTTGGTGCATATATCTTGAGATCATTACGAACTACATAATTTAAATTTGTTATACTAGTGTCATTAATATATAAGTTGGATTCAATAATCCCTAATGCCGTCGGTACAATATTAAGTGTGCTTATAAGGTTGCATAGGTCATCAATGTGATAAGGAAGTGAGGCAATTTTGAGATTAAGATATAGATCTGAAAATGGTTTACTAGTTTTATTAAATTCAATAAGATCATAGTATTTACAAGAGCCAGAGATTGCATTAAGTTCTTTTATCAAGCTTCTCGAGTGGATAGAATGTTTGGGGATGCAGTTGGCGAAATCTTGCAAATTGTTTACAAAAGCTCAAAATCAGTAAGCGTACTGAATGGCCTGTTTTTAGATATACAGTTTATCCAATACCATTCTGAAGAATCAAGAGCAAGAAGATTATAGGTGTGAAAAAATGACATTAATATATATATATATATATATATATATATATATATATATATATATATATATTGATGTTATCTTTTTATAAATAAAAGTTAAAGAAAACCTTTTATACAGACTTCCTTCTTTCATATTTATTCGTGTCCATACTTTAGTTGCATACTTTATAGAAAAATTTGTTCCTTTAATTTGGATGTAAATTTTAAAGTATAAAGAAAGTATTAATATAGCGCTATTTTTCAGAGACATTTAACACCTGAAATTTGCTAAGAAAAAATATTACAAAAGGTTTTTTTTAGTTAGCAATAACAAAATATTTCAAAAAAAAAAAAGTGGATTGTAGTTGCGCTTTAAGGTATTATCCAAGAAAGTATAACACGTGTTAAAAATTTTATTACACATCTTTTTAAATCTTAAATAATATAACAGAAAGATCTCGAATTATTATACATATATTATACATATTTTAAACAAAAAAACCATTAACAAATGTAATAAAAAAAAATAGGAAAAAACTATTGTTTATAAATAATACAATTTCTATCCACATAAAACATAAGCGAAACAGATAAACATGTCTGCTATCCAACATAAATGCTCATAAGTGCCAATTTTTGATATGCAAAAAGATATGATTTGATGTTGCATAAAAGAAGATCAACCAATCAAAGCAAAATTTATAACTTATAAATAAGATTAGGTTTCGCTATTAATTTTTATAATTGTTTCTATTTTTATAATTTTTTTCTTAGTTATTAAGTTCAATGGATTTTGATAAGAACCAATTGATTGGCTTTTACTTGGTATTTCTGTTGGACGGCAGATGTTATAAAGACTGATTATAAAATCAACAAGACTAATATTGGCCAATGAAAGCTAAACGGCGATTTATCCATCGAAAACCGAGTGGTGTTATATAACAAATGAATCACATTTGTTCATACTTGTTTGTTTTCATAAAAAGTTGAGTCAAAAAGTAAGCACATACAATGCCTAGCAACTAAAAAAATATATTCTATAAATTTAAAAAATATTTTATTAATGTCAATCAAAAAAATTCAAAGTAAAACTAATAATTGATTAATTGGATACTTGCAATTGCAAAAAAATTTTAAATGTTAATTGTTTTAACTCTCAAATTACCTGAAAAACAGCTATGCCTATTGCCACACCGCCAACAACGCCAAAATTTTTTTTAGCAATATTAAACAGTCCGTCATAACAACCCTGAAAAAAAAAGACTTGATATTTTAAATCAAAATTGAAAAAAAAAATAATACTTATACAAATTGAGTCAAATTTTTTTACCTGAGTATAAATTCCCATTTCTTCAGGTTTTAAACCTTTTAAATCTTTAAAGCGACAACCAGATCCATCTGAGTTCTTACAACATGACTGAGGGACTGACTCTTCTGATACTGTATCAGCTTCACGACGCTTTCGAGCCGCTGTGCTATTAGTTTCAACTATTGTAGTTGTATTAGGTAAAGCAACAGTAGTATTGATATAAAGTGTTGTAGTAGTGATGACAGTTGTAGTTGCTTCAGTTGTTGTTGAAGCATTAGTTACAAAAGTTGTTGTAGTAACTGTTGATGCTGTAGTAACAGCTGGTGTCGTAGTTAATGAAGAGACATTGAAGTAGTCTTGATAACTATTTACCCCACAACATTTAACATACTTAGCTTGTACCTCATCCATAGCATCCTTAAAATAAAGCCAAAAATATTTCAAAAATATTTCATAACAAATATGACAAAATGAGCATCATAAAAAACAATCCATACATGTAAATCTTTATTTGAGTAATAATTCTTTACAGCATTCATCATTCCTTCTTTTAAACCTGAAGCAAGCTGAAATATTTTTCAAATAAATTAAATTTATAATAATAAAATAAAATCATATTATTAAAAATAAATTATTAAATAATAAATTAACTTAAATTGAAATGTAGCTTATTAAAAAAAAAAAGAAAAGAAATCTATTGACCTTTCCTTTGAGAATGTATCCGGCAATAGCCCCGCCAATTTCAGACAAAACCAATAGCACCATTATAAACATATACTTAAAAAAATAGGAAAAAAACAATTACATGAATAAACAGCGGTAAATAGTACGTAAAATATATCATCTATTTACATAAAATCATGAAAACATTTTTATAACTTCTTTTTACAAACTATTTTTTCCTATATTAAAATATATAAATAATTTTCAAAGAAAAAACTATCCAAAATGATAAAATCTATCTGAATGAGCAATTAAACTGTTATTGTGATACTATAGATATAAATGATATTATAGTGATTGCTATAATTATACTGTTTAAGAAACAGGTTATACTAGTCATATTTTAAAAATCCGGAAATTTGTCCGGGTAAAATATCCAGAAAAAGTCAGGAATATAATTTCCCTTACTTTCTTCTTAATTTTGCTTTTAGCTGAGTTGTTTCCAATATTTTTTCCAAACTTTTCTTAATTTTTGCATGAGTGATAAATGAAAAAACTTAAAAACAAATATATTACAAAAATATACGCCTAAATGTCTATGCATGAAAATATTTTGAATATCCGGAAAAACTACAAGTTAAGAAAAATATCAGGAATTCCAGAAGTATCCAGAAAAAGATAATTCCTGAAGAAAGAAATAAAAATCAAACTAGATAAAAAGGTTTTTATAAATTTACTTTATCTATATTTTTTAAGCATTGTAAAAACATTTAATGACTGAACCAAATTAATATAACATAAATATTAATTAGAGATACACATAGAAAATGTCCACATATCAACTGATTTATTTGCTTTTAAATGAAAGATAGTAACCAGTCAATTATGATAAACTAGTTTTCTTAACAATTCAAAACAGGTTAAATAACTTGTAAAAATTTTCAACGCTATGCAGTTTAAGTAGTAGTATACCATTTTAAGAACCCAACTATGCTGCTTAATAGCTGCCCAACACCCACAAAAGCCAATAAGTACAATAAAGATACCACAGCCAATCATTACATAGGGTGCGAGATTATAGTCAATATCGGTTGAAAGCTTCATAAAATATTTGAATGCAAACTTAGCCATAATTCCAATGACCAGCAATGCTAACCCAGAAATCTAAAAAATTTTAACAGGCTAAAAAAAATTAATTATAAAAATTATTTATAAATAAATATTAAATATTAGAACTTAAAGACTCCAACAATTACTAATACTTACAATCAATTCATACAACTTTTTTTTTTTTTAAGGTTATTTAGGTGCTCCCAGAAAACCTTACAGTCTTATCATGAAGCACCGCGGAGAGCATTAAGTAGAAGTTCACGCCTATTTCCTTACCAATGTCGCTTATTGGGCTAGAGCCAGCGTTAAACCTCAGACCTCTGGGTTTTGACCCAAAACTCTAACCACTGCGCCATGGCTGCTCAAAATTATTATTGAATATTTATGAATAGTAATAAATAATAAAAATAATTAATTTGGTTATACTCAAGCATTCAAAGTTATTTGTCCTTAAAAAAAAAAGTAAAAAATGTTGAATCATTTGGTTTCAACATTTTTGTTTGATTATGAGTATATAAATATCTGATTATTTTACTCCCTTCATATTCACATATTAAATTTAATGACGTTTTCTCAAATTAGTAGTACCATATGAGAGCAAAAATAGTATGCCACCGGGGTTGATACTTGACCAGGGCAGGGGCTGGGTTTGATAAAAGATAGCTGGGGCCGGGTATGTGATCAGGACTGCATAAAGATTGATATATCCTGATATATTTTTTTTTTTTCAAAATACAAAATTAATTTTAATATATATATTGTCGCATGAGAATTATAAGGTTCTATCTGCCTTGTTTTATGTTGAAAGAATTTAACAATCAAAGTTTTAATAAATAATTAATAATAAAAACAAACCACTTAAAAAATGATATATTATATATAATTTTTTAACATTTTTAAAAGACAACATAAACAACTTATAATTTATAATTATAATGAATAACAGCTGTAAAACATGTATTAAATAAATATTGAAAGTTAAGTTCTCACAACATAAAAAAAGGCAGATAGAACCTTATAATTCTAATGTGACGATATATATATATATATATATATATATATTATATATATATATATATATATATATATATATTTATAAACATCATCATGATCGATATGATCATCATTAGGATCATCATCATCATCATCATCACAGTTACGAGATTTGCTATGAGACTGATGCGTAATGAAAAAGTGCAATGCAAGTAAATGTAAATTTACTCAATATCCATGATATTTAATTTGAAACCATGTTAATTACTTTTTACATTTAAATACTTTTTAAAATATTTATAAAATATTTTTAAATTAAACATTGTTATAATAAAAATTATCATTTAAATTTAAATATATTATTTGAAAAAATATATTATTTGAAAAAATTTCTTATTTAAAAAAATTTATACTATTTTATTTCTTAAAATGTTGATAACACAACATTATTGTCTTAAGTTAGTTTTCTCACAATTTAGTTGTTTTGTTTTAACAAAGGGGTAATTGTTTTAATTGTTTAAGGGTGAATTTCTTAACGGTCAAAAAATATCAACTTTTTTAACAAAAAGTTAAAAAAAAATTAAACTTATGTTTGTTTTTTTTAACTTAAAAAAAAAATTATTTCACAATTGCGGTAAAAATGTTTTTTACAACAAATAATGTTTTTCGCATAAATTATTTTAAAAGACTGTTTAAAAAATCTAATCGAAAAAAGTTTTGACATAACGTAAATGGCTTAACACGTAGATAAAATTGCTGTTTTGTACATAAAATTCACCTGGTGTAACGCTTCTTAACAAGGTCTGTCATCATCATCATCATCATCATCATCATCATCATCATCATCATCATCATCATCATCATCATCATCATCATCATCTTTTTCAGCAAATACTACACCATATAAATACTAAAGTTTATATAAATATGAAAGGATAATGTATGCCAGCATCTAAATAGCTTTATTAATTATCTAATCAGCATCTAAATAGCTTTATTAATCATTTATTTCATCTTTTTTACAAAAAAATCTATCTCAAGAAAAAATGTCCTTTTATTATTCCAAGAAGCCAATGAAATTTTTTGCTTGGCTCATTTAACAAATTGCATCCTTTTACTATATCTTTCCATTTGTTTTATAAAAACTTTTATAATCCAGCTTTTTTCCTTGCACATCAAAAAAGCCTTATAACACTTACCCATCTTTATGCTTTCCTATTTTACACAACTTTCTTCAGTCTACAACAGTCTTCCGTTTCCTAGCATTTTAACTTGCTAACTATTTTAAAGTAACTCATAACTTAATAGTGGTTGCTTGCAATCTTGTGGGAAGTTAATTAGAGTTTTAAAATATATAAATATATGCCAGTATTTAATAAATAGTGAATGTAAGCATAAATATATTAGGTTTTATAATTTTTTTTCTAGTTCCAGCTATCACCCTTGCTAAATCCTATAATTAAAAAAGTCTTACTTTTAGCCAGGGACGGGGCCGCAGGCCTTCGCGTGAGAGGCGTGCGGTCGCACGCTTTATATGACCATGCATATAATACTTTCTTTTGACAACTTGGCCACCGCTCATTGCAAGTTTTGCAAAAGCATTTATTTTAAGTAAAATTTTGCATGCTTTTGTGAGCGCATGCAAAAACAATACTAAAACATAATTATTTTCTTCTATAGGGTACTTGGTTATTTTACTTTACAAGTAACACTATTGAAAAAAGTAATTATGTTTTGGCATTTATTTTTAAAAGTCTCTGAAATTAATTGTCTTTTTGTTTTAAATATGTGTTTTTTATAATAAATAAAATCAATCACAAAACTATTTTGAAAAATCTTAATCAAACAGTGGCGTGTTGGCCCCATCGGCTATGTGGAATCCTGCTTGGGTCTATCGGTATTTATCCTAGAAGGGCCTTCTTTTTGAATTTTTTTACCCTTTACCGCATTCTGAAAATGATTCACAAATGATATTTATTTGCTTTATATTTAATTCCACGTGTTAAATTCTTTAACAAATCTCTGAGTCGAACTGTTGGACTTCAAGCACATATATATTAGTATTTGCATAATAAAATGCAACCGTTTGCAACTTTTGCCTAAAACAAAGTCGATATTGGAAAAATAATTAATCGTTACATCAGTCAAATTGCTAATTATATCAGTCATTATATAGATAAAATTATTTAAGTTAGCCAATAATTATTATGAGAAACAATTGTGTTCAATTTTAAATTATGGAAAAATATTCATAATTAAAGTAATTATATATATATATATATATATATATATATATATATATATATATATATATATATATATATATATATATATATATATATATATATATATATATATATATATATATATATATATATATATATATATATATATATATATATATATATATATATATATATATATATATATATATATATATATATATATTAGGGTGGTGCTTAAAACAACTTTTTTGAGAAAAACCTGCTGGTACCCCCTAAATGTGTTTTATCTAATACAAAAACACTAGGTTTAAAATTTTTTTGAACAAAAATTATTTTTAGGGGTAGCTCAAGGCCCTCAAAAATTTGACGGGTCCCTAATATTTTGAAAAAAAAACTTTTTCTAAAGTATGTCAACCTGGTACTCAAAAGAAGCGATATTATATAAAAACTTCAAAAATAATAATCATTTTACATAAAAAACATGCCTAAAAAAAATTATTCTTAAAAAACCTGAAAATATTGACTTTTTATTTTCAGCTTAAAAACAATAGTTTTTATGCATTTATACCTGAAAAAATTATTTTTATAAAAAATTATTTTCATTTTTAAATTTTTTATATAATTTTGCTTATTTTGAGTACCAGGTTGACATACTTTAGAAAAAGTTTTTTTTTCAAAATATTAGGGACCCGTCAAATTTTTGAGGGCCTTGAGCTACCCCTAAAAATATTTTTTGTTCAAAAAAATTTTAAACCTAGTGTTTTTGTATTAGATAAAACACATTTAGGGGGTACCAGCAGGTTTTTCTCAAAAAAGTTGTTTTAAGCACCACCCTAATATATATATTATATATATATATATATATATATATATATATATATATATATATATACATTACAACTAAATAATGGTACAGTTATTTATCCGTATTACTAAAACAAAATATAATATAAGTTTTCTTTCGAAAACTTTGTTTATATAACACAAAATACAATAATTCTTGTATAGGTAATAATGCTAAAACAAAAATATATATTTTATATATATATATATATATATATATATATATATATATATATATATATATATATATATATATATATTTAGTATAATAATATATATATATATTATTTTAACGTTAATGTTTTTTAAACAATAAAATAGAAATCTTATTAGGTTATCATAAAAACGCCGTGAAACTTGTTTATTTTAGAAATGAAAATATAAAATGTGATAACCGCAGCGCAATAAAACATGCTTCTCGCAGCACGGTGCCATTTTAATTGTAAGGAAATCAAATTATAACTCGTTGCTTTAGTATGTTGATTTAACTGGATAAGGTCAGTTTTTTATTGATATATATATATATATATATATATATATATATATATATATATATATATATATATATATATATATATATATATATATATATATATATATACATATATATATATATATATATATATATATATATATATATATATATATATATATATATATATATATACACAATGTGGGCCTTTAAATCAAGCATATTTGGCGAAATCCCGCATTTATGGACCTTTTTGAAAAAATCCAGCATGTGCTTTTTGGACCCAGCACACCCCTGTAATCAAATGCCAACATTTGCAAATGCAAAATTAAAGAACGTGTTGTTTGTTTTTCTTTCTGTCTTTTAACAAATGCACGCACATTTGTCGATTTGTTGCAAACTGTATCCTATTAACTTTTTAGTAAAATTTAAAATCTGCACCACAAAATTTTATTAAATTTATTGCACTTTTAAACAGCCTAAGTTACTTACGTATTTAAACATTGATTTCTAAAAAAAATAAAAATAAACTGAGGGGGAAGGGGGGAGAAGGGGTAAACGCCCTTATGACCCTTTTCCTCACCATGGATCGGCCTTTATATTAGCCTATTTATTCATGGGAGGAAAAAATACAGTTTAATAGAGCTATGATAAATTTTTTTTTTTAACTTTCACTCACAATTAAGTTTACATTAATTAATAAATGTTTTGATTTTTTTCTTGGTTTTTCTTCTATTTATTTTATCATTCTTTAAAATTTTTATTTTTTTAGGTTAGTTTTTGTATTTTATATATTTTTAAGGATTTTATTCTCTTTTCAGTTTATGGATTGTTTATTTTAATTTTAATTTTGCTTTTTTAGCGCATTTTTTAAATACCCTTATTAACAAAACTTGCAAAGAGCTGTGGTCAAGTTGTTAAAACAAAGAACTATATGCATGGTCATATATGGCGTGTGACCGCGCGCCTCTTCCGCAAAGGGGCCAGGTTTGTAAAAAGTCCTGTATTTAACCTGGGACAGGGACAGGTCTCTCGTCACTTACTAAGCTAGAGAACTAGCAAATACAATTGATGGCCATCATCTCCTTGGACACATGAAGTGCAGACCTAAAATAGGGAAAGAGATAATCCTTTTATTTAATATTAGACCGTATCATCGTCGGCCAAACAGCATCAACAAGACACATTTTAAAGTCTAAACATATAAGTGCAGTAAACTGGAACCTCTAAGGAATAAAGGAAAATGGTTTGACTAAACCATTGCTCAACTTAAGCAAAGTAAAACAAATTGGTTTGACTAAACCAAATGCTCAACTTAAGCAAAGTAAAACATTTGTTTTTGCTTCCACGGGACTATGTTGAGATAACAAATGTTTGAGTTAACCAGTGTTTGACCTACCATGAAATACCTGTATACTTTTGTTTTTATTTTATAATTTTATTAGTTATTAATGAAATACTAATGAAATTATAAAGTTCTGGTAATCCTGCAATTAAAAAGCATAAAACAAATTTATTTCTGGAGAGACTTCCTAAAATGGTAATAAAATATTTCGCCATTATGGTTTTAATGATTTTCAACCAATAATGTAGCCTTGATTTGCATATATATACCCAGTAAACAAGAGTCCAGATTTGGTCAATATTTAGTCATAGTTGGTCGTAAAATGGATAAAATGTTTAGTGACCAATTATTGACCAAAAATAAACAGTTAATTTTTTATTTATTTTTTATATTTAGATTTATATTTAAAGTCTTTTAATGCATACATTTATTAAATTTTGATTAAACTTTTACAAGATTAACTAACATAAGTCATAATTGTAAGCGCTTAATAAACATGTACATTAGGAGCATTAAAGGGTACATTACATACCTATCTAAACATATTTTAAACGTTGATTAAATGTTTACAATATTGACTAAGATAAGTAAATATTGTGAATGTTTAGCTAACGTACATTGAAAGGATTGAAGCGTACATTTTAAATTATTTATGCTTATTTTAAGTACTTATATTTATACTTATATTAATTATTATACTTATATCAAGTGTCGGTTGAATATTTTAATATATATAATGTTAATTCACCTAAGGCCATGAAGGCCACTACAGTCGAAGAGGCTACTCCTTTATTGATTGATAATAGTCAATACTGTAAACCTTTTACAGCATTTAATATATATGTATACATTAAATAGATTAAAACCTATGCCAAACTTTACTTAAAAACTGTATATATAAAGCTTGAATACTTATGGCGATTTTATTTAAATATAAACATAGTAAGCACAAGACCTATTTAATATATCTAAAAATTATATCACATGGTAATTTAGTAGGTTACTAGGAACATTTAAAAAATTTAATAACTCAATTATTATAATTATTATTGTTATTCGTTCCCCAAGATCATGAAGGTCACTACAGTCGAGGAGACTACTTTATTGTGGTTACAATAAAGTAATCACTTTTTAGCGCCTTTTACTGTACATCACTGAAAACATTGATTAGGTGAAGAATTCAAAAAGCTTTTTTTTTAATATGCTTTATAATAATATATTAATATACTACGTACTATATAATAGTGTAGAATTATATAATAATAGTTTGTTTTTATACTTTTAAAATAAGTAAGAACAATAGGCAAAAAAAAAATACATATATAAATAACGTAAATAATAATAAGATTAATTTAAAATCAGTTTTACCAGGACAAAAAATGCAATTACTGATCCACTTAACTTTTAAAGATGAAAGGCCACTAATTTTTTAAGTCTTTTTAAGCTCTATACAACTATGTTATTCATATGTAAATATATCGACAAAAAAAAAAATCCTGTGGAATGGCTATATATAAATATATATTACTTAACAGATTTAATATATAAAATGTTATAAAAATTATTTAAATAAAACGAGAATAAATCTTACCCAAAATACAAAATTGAAGACTAAAAAAAGCCCTTTAACAAATGTTATTAAAGGCTGACTCATTTTTTATTTTGCAAAGAAGTTCAATTAATCAGTCCTTGTTTAGGGGATTGGTCTACATGCGATATCTCTGAATTCAAAAATGTTAACTGCAACGGAACCGAAATGCGTTTCAATTTCCGTTTAATTAAACAGTCGTCAAGAGCAACTGATATTAGTATAAGAAAATAGCTTTTTTAAATTTTTTTTTAATTAAGAAATAATTATTGTTTTGAATAAAAACTAACAACTTGTTTCAATACACTTTAATATACAAAAAAACAATACTTTTGAACAAAAACTAGTATGTTTTTTTTTTATGTTTTTAATAAAAAAAAATTATTAATTTTGAAATCTCGGATTATTTAAGATCCAGGGTAATATACCTTAGGAGGAAAAGAATTTCACTGATATTTGGGATCTAGCATTTAACGAAAAGTATATTGGGACCCAGTGTGTAATGAAATATAAATGATCAGCTGTGGCATTGTGGTTAGAGCATTTATATCCGAACCAAGAGGTTCAAAGTTCGATACCATCTCTGGAAGCAGACATAGGTAATCCAATGAAATAAATACATAAACGTCTATTAAACGTAGAAACAAATTTTAAACAAAACATTTAGTTTTGGTCGGCTATCTGCTTGGAATAAAATTCAAAATAATGCTCAGAACAACCTCTATTTAAGTCGACATTTAAAAGTATTTTTGACATTAATTATTATTATTTCTTCTCTTTATTTTTGTGATCATTAAGGTGCTTCCAGAAGTCCTTACGGTCGTATAACAGTGCACCGCTACCACCAGCAGTAGCACCGCGTATGAGCATTTAACTAGGGAGTAATACGAAATACAAGAATCTTTGGGATATTGATTTATCCTCCTCGGGCTAATCGCCATATAGAAACCAAATTTCAAGGCCCGCATAGACAAGTTCAGCTCGTTAAAGAGAATCATAACCCGCTTTGACCGATCAAGAGTAAGTGAGTTTAAGAAGAACAAAGAATATTAGAATGAAAGACAGAAAAGTTAAGTTATAAAGATAGCATAAATAAAAATATTCAATTTCCATTATATCCAGCAGAATGAGAATTCGTGTTTAAACTGAATTCGGGAACAACTAAATCTTTGATGAGCTGAATCAAAAAACAATACATCATTCTGCTGAATCAAAGCATCATCCAGCTCAATCAAAGAAAAATGCATCCGGATAAAGTCTCTCTCATTGGATTTTCATTTTGAAACAAATCATTTTTTAAGTATTTTCTTTATTAGAATATTTGGATTTTATAAACTAATTTTCTGAAAATTTTTTACTTTCTAATTTAAACAAATTATCAAAAAACTTTTGTAGTTTATTGATTTTATGTTAACCTTTTGCAATAGTAAAAAACCTTATTAAGGTTTTTTACTTTTTCCAAAATAGAATTTTTTATAATTATTTAATTTCTGTTAGGTTTTTAAATTTTTTTTATTTATTTTAATTGAATGTAAAATATTCAAATTAATACAAAAAGAATGCGACCACCAAACTTTTTTTTGACAACATGTTTCAACATTGTATTTTTCCGATTATCAACAAACCTACGCGAATAACCCCGAATTCAATTTCCGCAATAGATAACATCTTGACAAATGCATTTCAAGATTCCTCTTTAAAAACAGGTATAGTTAAAACCGATATTTCGGATCACTTCCCAATTTACTTTTCTGTAAATCAAGATACAAGAATAAACAACAATTCTAAAACCAAAATTTATATAAGAAAAACTAATAAAATTTCTATTCAAAAATTTAAAGACACACTATCAATAGTGAATTGGGATGAAGTATATAAAAAATGCAACCTTGAGGACACAAACTCTGCATATAATACATTTATCGATATTTTTTTTAATCATTATAATAGTTATTTCCCGATCGAAGAAAAAATAGTTAAAGAAAAATATTTGAACTGTCCATGGATTACTAGTGGAATTAAAAAATCCTCTAAAACAAAACAAAAACTCTACATAAAATATTTAAAAAACAGAAATGAAGTCAACTTATCTATCTACAAGCAATACAAAAATCTCTTTGAAAAAATAAGGAAAAACTCTAAAAAAATATACTACTCAAAACTACTTCAAAATACCAATGGCGATATTAAAAAATCATGGAACATCATGAAAGAAATAATCGGGAAAAAAAATACCAAAACAAATACCTTACCTGATAGAATTGTTGTGGATGAAAAAGAATACAACGATAAAAGTTCTATAGCCGAACATTTCAACAGTTTCTTTGCAAACATCGGCCCTAACATGGCGTCCAAAATTCAATGCCCAAATACCTATTTTGAAACCTATCTTACAAATCAACAAAGCGAACTAAAATTCAATGGACTAGACTATGATGAACTCGAAGCTGCAAAAAATTCTCTAAAAATTAACAAAGCACCAGGGATTGATGAGATTTCTAGCAACGTAGTAATAAGTGTCTTCCCGGTGATACGCAAACCCATATTCGAAATTTTAAAATCTTCAATTACAACAGGAACTGTTCCAGACAAATTAAAAATTGCAAAAGTTGTACCAATATTTAAATCCGGAGAGCAATGCTCACTTAGTAACTACAGACCCATCTCAATCCTTTCTGTCTTTTCTAAACTTCTAGAACGAATAGTTTACAATAAACTATATAAATACCTAACTATTAACAATATTTTGAATAAAAAACAATTCGGATTTCAAAAACAACATTCAACCGAACATGCGATTATAGATCTTGTAAATAAAATAAATGACTCTTTTGATAATAACAAATTTGTTCTAGGAATCTTTATTGATCTATCGAAAGCATTCGATACTGTTGATCATGCTATACTACTTAAAAAAATGGAAAAATATGGCATTAAAAATGTTGCTTTACATTGGTTTGAGAGCTTTCTTATAAACAGACAGCAATGTGTTATTATGGATAAAAATACCCATTCAAAATTACTTAAAATAAAATGCGGAGTTCCCCAAGGTTCCATTCTAGCTCCCCTACTCTTCTTGCTATACATCAATGATCTTCCAAAAGTCTCAAAAAAACTTGATGCCATAATGTTTGCAGATGATACAAACTTATTTTATTCATCTACTTCTATCGCAGAACTCTTCGAAACTGCAGGTATTGAACTTGAAAAACTTAATACTTGGTTTAAATCTAACAAATTATCATTGAGTACAGAAAAAACCAACTACATTCTATTTCACACCAATCAAAGGAAAAAATCTATACCAATTCCATTACCGTCTCTAAAAATAGAAAATAAATTTATCGAAAGAATCAAAGCAACAAAATTTTTAGGAATACTTATCGATGAGAATATTTCATGGAAAGCTCACATAAACTTATTAAATACCAAAATAAGAAACAACATTGCATGCTTTACAAAGCTAGACCGATGCTACCCCAAAAAAATTTAAAGCTACTTTATTTCTCCTTCATTCAAACCTATTATACGTATGGTAATATAGCATGGGCAAGTACCCATAGATCCAACCTAGTGGCACTTTATCGACATCAAAAACATGCTGCAAGAATAGTATTTAATAAAGATAAATTTACTCATGCCGAACCTTTGCTAAAGCTTCTAAATGCACTAAATGTCTACAAAATTAACATTTACCAAAATTTGATATTCATGCTCAAATATAAACTCGGACTTGTCCCATTACATTTTTCAGAAGAATTTTTTAAATGCAATAGAAATAAATATGAAACTCGAGGAATAGGAAATTTTAAAGTACCATATAAAAAAACAAAACTATCACGTTTCTCCATCTCGTATCGCGGCCCTTACCTCTACAACAAACTAATAGCTAAAAATACTATAATTACAAAACTACTTGACCATAATTCTCTGAAAACACTTTTAAAAAAACTTGTTCTAAACTTAAACAATTTTACAAACGTATATTAAAACAAATAACTAAAAACCCCTAAAAAATCCACTTTAAAGCAAAGTAAATGTTAGATTTTATTTATATTTCGTACATGTCAATATACTAAGTATAACAAACCATGTAACTATATATTTATGTGTATCAAATTCAGCTCTTTTCCGTTTTTTGTTTTTGATTATCTAGTAGCTTTTTATGTGTGACTCTTATGCCACCATAAGACTTTGACAAACTGAAATTTCTTAATAAATTAAGTATACAAAATATCGCAACTAAAAGCGGTTTCTTGATGACAAGACCAAAATGGTCTTCTGCAAGTTTCCCGCAAAATGGTCTTCTGCAAGTTTCCCGCGTCTTTTAACAGTGTTACTTTTTTATATATATTATTATTTGTATTAAAAATAGTTTTCTTATTATATGTACGGTATTTTTTTTATACAATGTAAACGAACTAGTTTATATTTATGATCACGTATTTGTAAAGCTTTGATAAAAGACAAAAAAAAAAAAAAAAAAAAAAAAAAAAAAAAATAACTTAGTTACTTAATAATTAAGAAATTATTAATACTGCAATATACAAATAAATAAGACCATTGTTCCGTATTGGCCTCCGTAGACAAATTAAGTAACAGAAGTTTATGTTACGTCAAGTTATTGACGGTTGATAAAAAACTACTCGGGTAGCATTTTCAAATGACTGGTAACCGACATTTAACAAGTTTAAAGTTCATTTTAATAATTTTTAAGTTGGAAATCATTAATCGAATAAATCATAAATCGAATTAATCGAACAATTTAACAAAATTTTGTTATACTACTACTTTGTATGTAAAAGAAGATCGTGGAAAATTTGTTGCTAAAAAATTCTTCAGCAACGATTTCTTTATCACTATCAGAATTTATGAAAACATTAGACGTTCGGAAATTACTTGAATTTCTGAAACCCACTTATTATTTTTTGCATTGCTTACCTAGGACCGCAAAAAAAAGCGTTTTACGTTTTTATTTAAAAATAAAAAGTCATACGCAAACTCAAACGCATTTGACGCAACTTTTTGCGTTTACTTACGTAAACTTAACACAATTTTGCAAATAACCGCGTTTAATACGCAATTTACGAATTTAATACATAAATGCGTTTACAAGCGTAACTTATGCAATCTATTTTTTGAAAATGTAAATAATTTATCTTTAA